ACCACGTGCAATGTCCTTTGTGTTCACGCACAGTACTCATCTAGCATCTCTCAGTTTTTGAATTTATATTTCCTCAGCAGTTTTCTTTTTTTTCCTGCAATTTCTGTTCATTACATTAACCCACAATACTCTATTTTTTTCTCTTCTGCTTATTTCTGATGTTGATGGTCTCCACATTTCGCCTACTCTTCTGTATGGGTAACAGAGTGCACTGTCTATCTCACTATTCCTCCTCTGTTCCAGGGTGACAGTTCCATGTAGCAGGTATCAAGATATGTTTTTAACTGTTTTAAAAGCAGAGCTCCAAGCAAACAGTGAAATACTCATAAAAATAGTTATGTAGCAGTACCCCCTTAGGAGTCACTAGAGATTTGGGTCCCCCTATAGTCCAGCAAAACCAGGCAACACGCATTTCCTTCCAGCCTTGCACTCCAGAGACTTCTGTTGCTGTGACTTAGATGATGTTCAGAGCACATTTTATGCCCAATTCATGCAAAACTCCACGTAATCCCAAGGGGTTCACATACTTTTTCTTGCAACTGTATGTGGATTGGATGAGGTTTAAACCGCATCTAATCTGCGTGATGTGAAATAACATTGCTTCCTATGGTGCCTGTTCACATACTGTATGCCTGGTGCACTAGTGGTGCAGATTGAAAATGAGTCCTGTCCGATTTCTGAGCAGTGCAGTCATAGTTTAAAGGTTATTGACTTCTATGGGAACCGTTTCTAAACCGCACGTCATCAGTTGTGAACAGGATAAATCCTGACCAGAACTGCTGAACAAACAATGTGACAGTTAGCTGTGAAACCTGACCTTCAATCCGCACTGCACATGTATTTATTTATTTCAGGTACTTATATAGCGCCGTCAATTTACGCAGCACTTTACATATATATTGTACATTCACATCAGTCCCTAACCCTCAAGGGGTGTACAATCTAAGGTCCCTAACTCACATTCATACATACACATACTAGGGACAATTTAGACAGGATCCAATTAACCTACCAGCATGTCTTTGGAGTGTGGGAGGAAACCAGAGTACCCGGAGGAAACCCACGCAAGCACAGGGAGAACATGCAAACTCCAGGCAGGTGGTGCTATGGTTTGGATTTGAACCCATGACCCTAGTAGTGCCAGGTGGAAGTGCTAACCATTTAGTCACTGTGCTGCCCATTTATGATTCCACTCTCAGCCTAACATTATAACTGTCATAGAGAATTGAGGGTCTATCGTTATCCCCAATCTGCTACCTTTCTTTCACTTCTCCTTGTCTTTCATCAATCAAAATGCCTTCCCTCTGCATCTCCTCCCCGGTTAGCTCTCTCCTTTGCCATGTTTAACTTTAAAGTGGAGTTCCATTCAAAAGTGGAAGCTCCGCTTGTTTGCCTCCCCCCCCCCACTCCACTGTCATATTTGGCACCTTTTGGGGGGAGGAGAGAGCGGGTACCTGGCTTTGACAGGTACCCACTCCCACTTCCGGTTCAGTTTGCCACATCGAAGTGAGCCCAGAAGTTTGGCCCCTTCCTTTCTCCTGCAGTCTCCTGGGAACCTTCACAGGTCCCAGAAGACTGCCAGACCAAAGAGAATGCGCAGCGAGACTCGCGCATGCGCTGTGGGCACCCAGCTGTGAAGCCGCAAGCCGTCACAGCCTGGTACCCACAATAGTGATGCCAGCACCAAGAAGAGAAAAGGCAGAGAAGGGATGGCGTGGGTGAGTACATAGCTGGACCCCGGGACAGGTAAGTGTGTGTTTATTAAAAATCACCAGCTACAGTTCTTGTAGCTGCCGACTTTTATTAAACACAAAACTGACTGGAACTCCGCTTTAACTTTGTCTCCTCCATGCCTCCCTACAGTTTAGAACCAGTGGCAAAATTGGCCTCCTCTATGATCCCCCACACCCATAAAATCAATGTTCAGCTGCTGTTCCGGTACTTCTCCCCCTATGGTCCATGATCATCTCCCAATCTGCCTACTCCCTCTATTGACTCCCTGGTCAGCTCTTGCCCTCCTCTCTCCCAAAGTTCCATGGTCAGTTGGCACTCCTCTCTCCCTTCTACTCTCTGCCATATTAAGCGTTAACTTTGTGTTGTCCCCCTCCTCAGTTGAGAACCAGTTGCAAATCAGCCTGCTCTATGCTCCCCCCCACCCCCTGACCCAAGAAACCCACGCTAAGCTGTTGTTCTGGTGCCTTTTGCACTATGATCCATGATCAGCTCCTCTTTCTATCTTCTACTGCTGCTTTCTCTTTCTATCTTCTACATGGTCAGCTCACAACTCCCCCCCCGCCTCTTCCAATGTTCAATGGTCAGTTGCCTCTCCCCCTCCACCATCTGCCATCTTCAGCATTAACGTTGTCTCCTCTGTGTGGCCTCTCCCATTCCAGACCCAGTGGCAAATTGGCCTCCTCTATGCTCCCCCACACCCATAAAACCCACGTTAAGCTGTTGTCCTGGTGCCTTTTGTCCTATGATCCATGATCAGCTCCTACTCTGCCTTCTATCTTCCACATGGTCAGCTCTCAACCCCCCCCCCCCCACCTCTTCCAATGTTCAATGGTCAGTTGCCTCTCCCCCTCCACCATCTGCCATCTTCAGCATTAACGTCGTCTCCTCTGTGTGGCCTCTCCCCATTCCAGACCCTCCTCTATGCTCCCCCACACCCATAAAACCCATGTTCAGTTGTTGCTCTGATGCTTTTTTCCCTATGATCCATAATCAGTTTCCACTCTGTCAGCTCTTTCAATCTACTCTCTGATCAGTTCTCACTCTCTTCCCCACCTATCTCAATGTTTCATGGTCAGTTGGTGCATCTTTCTCTCTTTCACCTTCTGCCATATACAGTTTTACTTTGCCTCCTCTATGCCTCCCCCACCCAAAATAAACATTTTCAGTTGCTGTTCTGGTGCAATTTCCCCTTGGGTTCATGATGAGTGCCCACTCTGCCTGCTCTCTCTATCTACTCCCTGATCAGTTCTCACTATCTTCTCTGTCTCTCCCAATATTCCATGTGGTCAATTGGCACTGTTCTCCCCCCTTCACTGTCTGCCGTGTTCAGCAATAACTTTGTTTTCTCTTTGACCTCCTCTATGCACCCCTACACCCAGGGTCGTGGATAAGGGGGTACCACCAGTCTTCATATACGGGGCCCAGGCATTTGGGGGAATCGGATGTGGGCAGGGAGAGCGATTGGTACAGCAGGGGGACAATTACTGGAACCGATCCCCTGTATGGCTCTCTCTGCAGCAGCCGAGAGCAAGCTTCTTCTCCTCTCCCTCCCAGTGGCTTTCAACTGCTGCAAAGAAATCCATAAAGGGGATCGGTTTCAGTAATTGCCCCCCACTGCACTCATCACCTTCCCTGTACACCATATGTTTCCCCCTGCTGCCCAGGCCCCCCCATGTGCCCCCACCACCCACAGTGCTGCTGACTTCCCTCCTCTCCTTCCCACCAGCAGCTGCAAGTACACAATAGGATCCTTCAGGCTGGAGAATGGGGGAAAGGACTAGTAAATATGTCACATTTACCAACCCCTTCCTTTCTTGAATGAACACAATGAGTGACCGGTACCAATTAATCACTGTATTCATTCATAATTGAAGCATAGTAAACTGATTTTTGGGGGCTGTCAGGTTGGCTGTATGGGGCCCCATGGTTTCTAACAGCAGCCCTGCCTACACCCATAAAATCCATGTTCAGCTGTTGTTCTGGTGCCTCTTCCCTATGTTCCTTGATCGGCTCCCACTCTGCCTCGTGATTATCTCCTGCTCTCCTTTCTAGACCTTCAGCTCCAATAACAGCTAATACTCTCCCACCCGGTACCAATCAATCACTGTGTTCGTTCATAATTGAAGCATAGTAAACTGATTTTGGGGGGCTGTCAGATTGGCTGTATGGGGCCCCATGGTTTCTAACAGCAGCCCTGCCTACACCCATAAAATCCATGTTCAGCTGTTGTTCTGGTGCCTCTTCCCTATGTTCCTTGATCGGCTCCCACTCTGCCTCGTGATTATCTCCTGCTCTCCTTTCTAGACCTTCAGCTCCAATAACAGCTAATACTCTCCCACCCTATACCAATCAATCACTGTGTTCGTTCATAATTGAAGCATAGTAAACTGATTTTGGGGGGCTGTCAGATTGGCTGTATGGGGCCCCATGGTTTCTAACAGCAGCCCTGCCTACACCCATAAAATCCATGTTCAGCTGTTGTTCTGGTGCCTCTTCCCTATGTTCCTTGATCGGCTCCCACTCTGCCTCGTGATTATCTCCTGCTCTCCTTTCTAGACCTTCAGCTCCAATAACAGCTAATACTCTCCCACCCGGTACCAATCAATCACTGTGTTCATTCATAACTGAAGCATAGTAAACTGATTTTTGGGGGGCTGTCAGATTGGCTGTATGGGGCCCCATGGTTTCTAACAGCAGCTCTACCTACACCCATAAAATCCATGTTCAGCTGTTGTTCTGGTGCCTCTTCCCTATGTTCCTTGATTGGCTCCCACTCTGCCTCGTGATCATCTCCTGCTCTCCTTTCTAGACCTTCAGCTCCAATAACAGCTAATACTCTCCCACCATGATCAATGGCCATCTTCGCCAAAAAAAATAAATGTTTTGCTAACGTATATGCTGATTGGCCAGTGACACATAAGTCAGATGGTTTAACTTACCCTGTTCATGAATAGGCACACATATGTTAGTGTAAATAAAAGGAATAATACATCTCTGAAATAATCGGCAGGCAAGCATTATGACAAGAATAGGAAGATAGGATTATAATAAATTCTCTTTGATTAATGTAACATGCAAAACCTTGACATGTTTTTCATCCGACTTCATAGAAAATATGTTTAGAATGCAGAAGATGAAAGAATGACGAATGAAGTGTGGTCTTATGCGTATTAGGAAATAGGAAAAGCCAGATTTCCTTCTGTTGCATGCTTTAGTGAACACACAATGTAATTTAGCAGTATTAACAATTCTTTGTCCTTTGTCAGACAGGTCAGCAAGGCAGATGGTTCAGCTCTTGCCTCCCGTCATGGCTGCCTTTTTCGGGAGGTCTCTGCTTGCCTGGATTTCCGACTGGTTCAGCAGGTGTTTCACGATGCTATACACGAAGTGAGGAGAGATGCAGACAGATCTGCTCATATGAAACCACCATTGTACATCAGCGAGGAGAGGGCTCTGCTTGGCCTGCCTCCCATGTCCTCCTCTGCAATGTCCAGCCGTCATGGCATGCCTACCCTCAGCACCTTATCACCCCTAGTTACAAAGAGATCCCCTCTGTGGCTCAAGCCAAACTTGTTACCGTGAAGTCATCTAGAGCCCAAAGCAAACGTAAGGCACCAACGTTGACCCTTCTGAAGGGGTTTAAGATTTTTTAAGGATGAAAAGGCCAAACACTTTATTGGCATGAAGCACAGTGTTCTGAATCACTATTTATGGACTGGATCACAAAATAACTAAAAGATGGCCAAGGTCTAAAGCCAATGCATCTAAAACTATTAATTTTAATTCTTGAGTTGACAATGCAATGAACAAGGTCATGCCGAGGGGTAGTCAAAAAGTGGCCACCCTTGGGTGTTTCAGCAAAGGGGGTTGATAAAAGGATCTGCAGAAGTAGTGGGGAAAGGGGCTCACTTTGGTCATTTTGCCATGGTGCTGAAGGGTCTTTGCCCCGGCACTGGTAGTGAAGAACAGCACAAGTTGAGGAACATTGCGACTGCCGCTATACAATCCACCCCATGATGTCCATTTTACTCAGATATATATACCTATTTATTCATGAGCTACAAGTGACATCTACTTGGAAGAAGTGGAAATAAAGATGATATTTTGGTCCTTGATACTTAAAATGTTGCATTTTTTTGAAGGTCACATATAGCGCAGGTTGCCGTTATGCTTCTTACTGGATTTGGAAAGAACAGGGTCAACTTAACATCAAAGAACAGGCTTTACATTATATGACGGTACTGAACGCCAAACACCTGATGATGTGCAATCCAGATGTTTAGACTGCTCCTGCTGCCAAACTCACATCCCTGTTATCAAAGAGCCGGATGTCTGATCAGCGTGTTGACTGCGCCCTGTTGGCTTCTGCTGAACCTCCACCATCTAGAACTTGTTCATCTGCCAGCTTCCATTATACACAGCAGCAGCCTGGACTGCAGATACAGCACACAGAGATCTCAGCTTTATCCAATCTGTCTCTTTTGTTTTTAATTGTTTCAGCCATATCTAATATATTTCAATGTTCAGGGATTATGAACTGACAGACTGAAATTTTGGCTGTATGAAAAAAAAAAAAAAGGGAGCTTATTGTATGCAGCAAATAAAAACAGCTTTATCACATATTGTTGCAGATCTGGTTGCTGAAGGTGGAAATGTTACCAATGTCTGGTCCATAGGTGATCTGGACACGGTTCACATGTGATTCAGTATGGTGCAGGGGCGGACTGACAACTCATGTGCCACCGAGCAATAGGGGATCATGGGCCCCTGTGTCCTTGCCCACACTCAAAAAAGCTTATAAAAAAGGTTTCAGGGGATTCCATGGGGCCCCACTGACACTAGGGCAGTGCCCGATGCTCGGGGTCCGCCCCTGCTGGTGTGATCCATTGTGAGTGCAAATTGTGCCTAAGAATTCTCTTTCAATGACTGCGAACAGGGGTCCATGGCTGGCAGAGGTTTTCATGTAAGGCAGAGGTGGGCAATTTCATCGTGGGCCCCATCAGCATTATGGTTGCCCTCAAAGGGCCGGTTGTATCTGTAAAACTAGATGTCCAGAGTACATCAAATGTCAAGCCCCCCCTCTATCAGAAGTCAAGCGTCCCCCACCCTCCCTTAAATCACAGTGCCAACCTCTTACCTTGTGTTGCTGCTGCCAGGGTGAAGCTGGGGGGCGAAGCTGGGAAGTAGAAAGTGCAGGGTCTAGAGAAGGTCCAGAAGAGAGGCTGGAGTCAGCTGCCAGAGTCTGCCAGACCAGGGGAGGTGGAGTCAAGGTGGTGCTTTGGCTGCACAGAGAGGTGCAGGATCTGTATGAGGATTTCTGTCCTCCTCCCTGCTGCTGACTGAGACTGGGAAGTGCAGAGACAAGTCTCTCCTCAGCTACACAGAGATGGGTAGGATCTGTAGGAGGAGTTCTGTCCTCCTCTCCACTGGCAACTGAGACTGAGGAGGGCAGAGATGAGTCTGTCCTTGGCTACACAGAAAAGGGTAGGATCTGTAGGGGGAGTACTGTCCTCCTCTCCACTGGCAACTGAGATTGAGGAGGGCAGAGATGAGTCTGTCCTTGGCTACACAGAAAAGGGTAGGATCTGTAGGGGGAGTACTGTCCTCCTCTCCACTGGCAACTGAGATTGAGGAGGGCAGAGATGAGTCTGTCCTTGGCTACACAGAAAAGGGTAGGATCTATAGGAAGAGTTCTGTCCTCCTCTCCACTGGCGACTGAGACTGAGGAGGGCAGTGACGAGTCTCTCCTCGGCTGCACAGAGAAGGGTAGGATCTGTAGGAGTTCTGTCCTCCTCTTCATTGCTGACTGAGACTGGGGAGGGCAGAGACGAGCTCTCTCCTCGGCTGCACAGAGAAGGGTAGGATCTGTAGGAGGAGTTCTGAGCCATACTTGTAGATATGCCACAAAGGCAGTGGCCTGGGTTGCCATGCAGGTAAGGGGTGCACATTATCACGTTATATGGTGTACAGAGTGCCCCACAAAATGTCATTTCCTGCTTTTGTGATTGGCTTTGTGTCTGCTCTAAGTTTCAAGTCAGATTTTGGGCATCCTCTGTAACAGAAATTTCAGTTTTGGTGAGATACTCCCCAAGGGTTAACTACATCTAGAGGAATGCAGACACTGCAACTTTTTTCATCAGAACACTTAGAGTGCACTGGATGATTATAATGAACCAACCCCTGCCATTCACAGGACATGGGGAAATAAACAACTATTTCTTCAGAGCAACAAAAGGTGGAAATCTGCAACAAAGTTAAAATCCTTGCAATTTACATTGATTACCCTGAGGAGATAGTTTTTTTTCCACAAAAGTGGAACTACTCTCCACGTACGTATCTCATTGCCTCCTACAGTTGTGTTCAAAATAATAGCAGTCAGACATCACTAACCGGATCAATCACTGTTTTTGGTAGAAAACATGGCAAATAATTTCTAGCAGGTGTAGTAGAGTAATTGAAATCCAACAGACTCAACAGTCATGACATGCATGCTGCTGATTCTGTGTCATTGAATCTCTCATTGAAAGGGGCGTGTTCAAAATAATAGCAGTGTGGAGTTCTATTAGTGAGGTCATTCATTCTTTGAAAAACAGGTGGCAAGTATTGCCCTTATTTAAGGAAGGAGGGCAGCAAATGTTGTACATGCTGGTTACAGTGCATTTCTCTCTGAAATTCTGAGGAAAATGGGTCGTTCCAGACATTTTCAGAAGAACAGCGCACCTTGATTAAAAAGTTGATTGGAGAGGGAAAACATATAAAGAAGTGCAAAAAATGATCGGCTGCTCAGCTAAAATGATCGCAAATGCTTTAAAATGGCAACCAAAACCTGAAAGACGTGGAAGAAAGCGAAAAACTACCATTGGAATGGATAGAAGAATAGCCAAAATGGCGCGGACTCAGCCAACAATCAGCTCCAGGAAGATGAAAGAAGGTGTGACGTTCCCTGTGAGGACTGTTACAATTAGAAGACGCCTATGTGAAGCCAAGCTATCTGCAAGAAGTCCCCGCAAAGTCCCACTGTTGGAAAAAAGACATGTGCTGAAGAGGTTACAATCTGCCAAAGAGCACATTGACTGGCCTAAAGAGAAATGGCGCAACATTTTGTGGACTGATGAAAGATTGTTCTTTTGGGTCTAGTGGCCGGAGACGGTTTGTCAGACGACCCCCAAACACTGAATTCAAGCCACAGTACACTGTGAAGACAGTGAAGCATGGTGGTGCAAGCATCATGATATGGGGAACAACTACGGTGTTGGGCCTATTTATCGCATACCAGGGATCATGGATCAGTTTGAATACATCAGAATACTTGAAGAGGTCATGCTGCCTTATGCTGAAGAGGAAATGCCCTTGAAATGGGTGTTCCAACAAGACGACCGCAAACACACCAGTAAATGTGCAACATCTTGGTTCCAGACCAACAAGATGGACGTTATGGAGTGGCCAGCCCAATCCCCGGATCTTCATCCAATAGAAGATTTGTGGGGGTGACATCAAAAATGCCGTTTGAGGCAAAACCAAGAAATAGAGAAGAACTGTGGAATGTGGTCCAATCATCCTGGGCTGGAATACCTGATCACAGGGGCCAGAAGTTGGGTGACTCCATGCAACACAGATGTACAGCAGTTCTCAGAATCAGTGCGACTACAACAAATATTCATGAAGTCATTCAAAGGAAAGCAAAATCTTCAAACATTTCTCAGTTTATATAGTGAATGTTTGAGTTTGTAAAGAAGAATACAAACACTGCGATTTTTCTGAACCGTCTAATATTCACTTTTCTTCAATTTTCTTAGAGGAACAACACAAATTTGATGTATTGTTCTTCATGTTGTGATTTGGAATAGAATGTGTCGTGTTCCCAATGCATTTGTGTGGATGGAAATAAAAGCTGTTAGAAGGATTTTTCAGCTTTATTCACTTTTTTCAACACACTGCTATTATTTTGAACACAACTGTACATGGGCAGCCCATTAACAGTACTGTGTTGAATCCATACATCTTGCCAATGGATGTCTGTTGCGGCACAGCACAATGTCCTGAGTTGCATTGCACTGGCAGAAATGGCATGTGCACCATTTTTGGGTGTGTTAGGTAGCCCATTTAAATGAATGTGCTTCCCTAACGCAACACATGTTAACATGTATGATAACTCGGTTTATGCAGTCTTGCTGCCCAGCACTTCGAGTATACACAATCGATGCCATGAAGTCATCAACCTGTCCACAATCCTCATTCAAGAGTGTTGACTGCTGGGGGAGCCAGGAATAAGGTACTTATGCTTCTCTAATATATCTCCCCCAGACCAGGGGTCTCCAATTTACTAAACATAGGGCCAGTTTACTGTCCTTCAGTCTTTACGGGGGGGGGGGGCAGGTTCTGGCCATTGGGTAGAAAAGGGTGCGATGTCAGTAGGAAAAAATAATGCCCCATCTTTGGTATCAGTGGGAGGAATTGTGCCCTGTCATTGGTATCATTGGGCTCCATTGTTGGTGTCATTGGGAGAAATTGTGCCTCATCTGTGTCAGGGTCCTGTCCACGGCAAGAGTTCTGGAAGATCTGGCATTTCTGCCAGTACTCTACATGGCCGCAGAAGTACACACATCAGCCTCAGTCTGGTGCCTGACAGTATTTATAAGGAGGCTCATCACTT